CTTGGAAGAATGGATTTAAATTCAATCCAATGATTATATTTTTATGTTCTGTATTATTTAGAAAACAGTAGTTAAACAGACAGAGATAGAAAAGATGGTTTAAAAATTAAAGCTACTGAGTTAGATCCCTTTTTGAAAGGCCAGTGTATGGGAGATGAGAAAGGCACTCATAGCGATCAGAGTGTTTACACAAAAGACATCTTAGCAGAGGACCTACGAAGAGCACATCAAGTATTTCTATCATCCACATCAAGTTGCTGGTCATTTCGCTTATCAAAGAAAATAAGAAAGAAATTTTCTTTGGACATCATTTTGATGTAGTAACAATAGAGTTTTGGAATCAGCTGTTAGAAACGATCATTAAAGCTGGTTTATCATGCTCACGAATCAACTACAGTCACCCTGAAGCTTTATATAATTCTCCCTTTATTATAAACTTCTACTTCTCCCTATGGTATTCTGGTTCCGCAGACAGGTAAAGAACTAAGTGCGGCCGGGCACAGTGGCTCACACCTGTAATCCCAGCACTTTGGGAGGCTGAGGCGGGCGGATTACGAGGTCAGGAGATCGAAACCATCCTGACCGACATGGTGAAACCCTGCCTCTACTAAAGTACAAAAAATTAGCCGGGCGTGGTGGTGTGTGCCTGTAGTCCCAGCTACTCGGGAGGCTGAGGCAAGGGAATTGCTTGAACCCGGGAGGTGGAGGTTGCAGTGAGCCGAGATCATGCCACTGCACTCCAGCCTACAAGACTCCATCTCAAAAAAAAAAAAAAAAAAAAAAAAGAAGAAGTGCTTGGAGACCAGTGTATTGTAATATCTGTACAGCCAAGCAGGTATTTTCAATTGAACTTTAAAAAAGTACTATTTTTGAAACTTTGTTTACTTTAGATAGGGCCAGCCATTTGGGTAGAAAGGTACAGAAAAACAAAAAATTGGAAAAGGATGCATCAGTAGTATTTCTTTCAGACACAACACTAGGAACAGAAGGAGGATTTTATTCAGCAACTCCTAATAACCACCTGATGTTGCTGTCGGGCTGGCCAAATATCTGCCAACATTGATGATCCTTTCATTCACCACTAGAGAGAAGTAGAGGGACCTGATGTTTAGAGAAGCAGCAAAACCCATTTCCCATTTTCCTTCTTCAGCCAGATGGAAGTACTTGGAGGCTGGTCTCATATTCCAGCACTTTAGTGCTGGTGATGCGGATCCTCTCTGCTCCAGAGTAACTCTGTGCCATGGAATCCAAGAGGATCCTGTCGCACCAGGGACAGGAATGCACCCTTGTTTCATTTTCTTCCCTGAAAGCGGAGTTCAGAGGTTCTCAGATACGAGACTAATTGTCACTTACGGTAGGCTCCAGGGGAGGAGCAGAGTAGGGCAGTGCTAATAACAGTGACTCCGGGGACAAGATCAGCAACCTGAGAAACAAATGTGAGACATTTTACCCCTCTCTAATCTACTCCCCTTTTAAAGGTTCATCTTCATTCCCCCTTTTTCTACCACGTAGTAATTGATAATTAAACACAGCTCTGGTTTTTACCATGCAATCTAGTAGAACACCTAGGCATCAGGAGCTCCTTATCCTTGGTTATTTATAAAATAATGAAATCTGTAGTTCACCCTAGGCTATGTGGACAGTATCTGCATCTCTGGAAACCAACTGGAGGCCTGCCTTTTATTCTTTTCCGGTTGCTTTCCATTTCCTTTTCCACTGTGGTCCTTGCCTTTCCCAAGCTGACCAGAACTATGCACAAAACCAGCCTTCAATAAATATCAACACTGAAGCTTCAGCAGGTTGTTAACTCCTGTAGAGCTATCTTAAATGCTGTATATAAGTGCAAAGTTTTACGGCGCCTCAGAGATCTCTAAGAACACTGTAAATATCCCAGGTTTAATTAGTAGTCCCGGAGTTAGGTAATGGCCTGTGGCTTTCTGCGCTAGGTCTCTTGGGGTTTCCAGTCTTCACAGGTTGCCTGCAACTATGATGTGCACATATACAGTCCTCTTTCTCAAATACGGCATAAATCCTCTTTAGACTTTCCTAGGCACTTACAATTATTGAACACACATGCAGATTGATTCTCATTCTCTCAAAGTTTGAAAAACAACTCAGTGCTTCAACCTAGGTCTCGTTAGATATTTTTTCACTCAAATTGTGGTCTGGAGTTCTACTTCCTAAGGGAAATGAAAAAACAATAAATTCCCAGACTGGTGTTGATGCTCATTCTCTTTAAGCGGGTCGACTATTTGCTTTGTAGATCCTTGACGGGTGCGGTGCGGGGTAGAAGGAGCGCGATCCAACTCTCTGCATTTCTGAATTAGCTCTCTCACGGCGACAGGTCTGCCCAGTCGGGGTTGTAAGCGGACTTGACAGGTTTGTTCTGGGCTGACGGCCATTGACGAGGTTCTCAGACCAGATAAGTCACTTGGCTGAGTCTACAGTAGGTGGGGCGCGCTCACCAGCTCAGGGGTAGTGACTGGACGTTTGTTGCAACATCAGAGAATGCAAGCTCTGGGCTGCAGCAGGAGATAACCCGCAAGCACAGAACTAAAAGGGTTCACCCTAAGGGGCAGAGCATCAGCGAGGGAGAGGCCCGAGACCCCTAGCGCCCAGATCCTTTTCCCACGTTTGGGAAGGCGCAGTATAGGTCGATCTAGAGCTAGGAGTCTCAGGTCTCCGTCCTTGGCTTGCTCTTAGGGTAGCAGGCGAGGAATAGGACCAGCTTGGGGACTCTCTCCCCGCGTTCTGTAAGAATCGGCCGCAGCCAGCAGGCGGGGAGGCGGGGGCACGTGTTTGGATGTGGGTGCTTGTGTAACCAGCTCCCCAAGCGCCAGCCCCGACAGCGCTCCTTCGGGAGGCTGGTCCGAGTCCCTGTTTCCGCCGCGGCGCGGGAAGGGCTGGGGTTCTGCAGCCTGCACCAGGCGAGAACACCCCGAGCAAAAGAAGAGTACTTGCCTCCGGAGCTATCACTGGGGAGTGGGAATTTGGAAAGTTCCCCAACTAGGAACACACGTGACCTCCTTCGGAAAGTAGTTCCGACTGTGGCCCGTGTATCCTTCCACCCCCTTTTGAACCCTCCTAGGTCTCCTTGCCCCGCCCACTCGCTGGGCTGCAGCTTCCTACCGTTCCGTACTTTCCACTCAACCTGGTAACCCCGAACGTGCATGGTCTGGCCGGGGCGCGTGGAGCCTGGCCCCGGGCGATCCATCCCGCCGGGTTTTCACGGAGGCCAAGGGGGGGGCGGGGCTAGGTGGTCTCTAAGAACCGAGCTTGAGTCCGACGCGGCGAACCGACTTGGAGCCCGAGGGGGAGAGATGCTCTAGTCTCCTAGGGGCACCGGAGCGGGCGCAGGAGAGGGCTGCGGGGTGCGTCCTACTCACGGGGATCCTCTTTCAGTTCATTTAGATAGGTGCCCTTTGGGCTCTGGAAATTCAACGGCGATGTGTTCACGTTCAGCACGCTCGGCTGAGAGCTTTCATTTTTAGGGCAAACAAGCCGAGTTACCGGGGAAGCGAGAGGTGGGGCGCTACAAGGGAGCCGGATGAGGTGATGCACGCTGGAAACACAATAGCAGGTTGCTCTTTGTGCTAAGACTGACATCCTGAGGACACAGGGTTGGGGAAAGGAGGAATCTCTAGGCAAAGGCTGCTACAGTCAAATCTCTGCGAACGACTGTGATCGACAGCGATGCAAAAGAGCGAATGCAGTCCACGCCGCGGAAATCCAGGGGCAGAGGCAGGGGGGAGGGTATTCCCCTTGCAAGGACCGTCCCTGCATTTCCCTGTATACTGACCAGCGTGGTCACCTGGTCCTTTCCACCTGTGCACAGGTAACCTGAGACTCGAGTCAGTGACACTGCTCAACGCACCCATCTCAGCTTTCATCATCAGTCCTCCACCCCCGCCCCGCAACAGCCTACCCTGCCTCCGGCTGGGTTTCTGGGCAGAGGCCGAGGCTTAGCTCGTTATCCTCGCCTCGCGCTGCTGCAAAAGCAGCCGCGGCAAGTGCAGTTGCAGGCTGGCGGCTCGGAACCGGCCCGAGCGAGCTCTAGGCAGCCACACTGGGCATGCTCAGTAGAGCCTACGGCTTGGGGGCTTTGCGCTCGCACCCGGAGCTACCGCTCCTGCCCCCGCCTACCGCCCCCTGCCCTGCCCTCCCCTCGCCCGGCACGGTCCAGTCCGCCTCTCGTTCGGCTCCCGCCTCCCCTCGGTCTCCCGAGGAGCCCGGGCTCCCGGCGCGGCGGCGGAGGGGGCGGGCAGGCCGGCGGGCGGTGATGTGGCGGGACTCTTTATGCACTGCGGCAGGATACGCGCTCGGGCGCCGGGACGCGGCTGCGCTCAGTTCTCTCCTCTCGGAAGCTGCAGCCATGATGGAAGTTTGAGAGTTGAGCCGCTGTGAGGCGAGGCCGGGCTCAGGCGAGGGAGATGAGAGACGGCGGCGGCCGCGGCCCGGAGCCCCTCTCAGCGCCTGTGAGCAGCCGCGGGGGCAGCGCCCTCGGGGAGCCGGCCGGCCTGCGGCGGCGGCAGCGGCGGCGTTTCTCGCCTCCTCTTCGTCTTTTCTAACCGTGCAGCCGCTTCCTCGGCTTCTCTTGAAGGGGAAGGTGGAAGCCGTGGGCTCGGGCGGGAGCCGGCTGAGGCGCGGCGGCGGCGGCGGCACCTCCCGCTCCTGGAGCGGGGGGGAGAAGCGGCGGCCGCGGCGGCCGCGGCGGCTGCAGCTCCAGGGAGGGAGTCTGAGTCGCCTGTCACCATTTCCAGGGCTGGGAACGCCGGAGAGTTGGTCTCTCCCCTTCTACTGCCTCCAACACGGCGGCGGCGGCGGCGGCACATCCAGGGACCCGGGCCGGTTTTAAACCTCCCCTCCGCCGCCGCCGCACCCCCCGTGGCCCGGGCTCCGGAGGCCGCCGGAGGAGGCAGCCGTTCCGAGGATTATTCGTCTTCTCCCCATTCCGCTGCCGCTGCTGCCAGGCCTCTGGCTGCTGAGGAGAAGCAGGCCCAGTCGCTGCAACCATCCAGCAGCCGCCGCAGCAGCCATTACCCGGCTGCGGTCCAGAGCCAAGCGGCGGCAGAGCGAGGGGCATCAGCTACCGCCAAGTCCAGAGCCATTTCCATCCTGCAGAAGAAGCCCCGCCACCAGCAGCTTCTGCCATCTCTCTCCTCCTTTTTCTTCAGCCACAGGCTCCCAGACATGACAGCCATCATCAAAGAGATCGTTAGCAGAAACAAAAGGAGATATCAAGAGGATGGATTCGACTTAGACTTGACCTGTATCCATTTCTGCGGCTGCTCCTCTTTGCCTTTCTGTCACTCTCTTAGAACGTGGGAGTAGACGGATGCGAAAATGTCCCTAGTTTGGGCGACTATAACATTTAACCCTGGTCGGGTTGCTAGGTCATATATTTTGTGTTTCTTTTCTTGTATTCAACCTAGGGTGTGTTCGGCTAGACGGAACTCTTGCCTGGTTGCAAGTGTCGAGGCACCGATTGCTTGCTTAGGCTGTCTATACGGTCTCTTCCTGAGGGCTATTGTCCGTTAATACAGAATACAGTATGCTGTTAGTGGATTAGAGAGCTCGGTAATCCGGTCTCCTAAATGAACAAAAAAGTAGACGCTTTGAGGTTGAGCATATTTCGATTAAATCTTGGCTTAGGCCCTAGATCAAGGGTTTAGATCAGAATAAAATGAAAATTAGTGTTGCACGTATGCATATTGCATCAGAATCTTGCAGTGATTGTTTTAGTTTCCTGGGTTGCATTGATAGATTCTTTTAAAATATGACTGATTTGCATAACTTTAGAAGCAGAATAATTTTCAGTATATATGGTGCACATTGAGTGCAAAAAGTAGTTTTGTTAATGTTTTACACTTAAGTTACAACTTTGGACTGTATTTAGAAGTTTTGTAGTTTGAAATCAATAATGCCATTATATACCTTATAAGGCGTTCTTACTAGATCTTTGTTATATTTACCTTTTTCTCTCCCTATGGGATGATGTAGGATAGGGCTTGAAATTTGCACTTCAGTAGCGTTTAATGTTCAGTGCTCTTGTCATAAACATGGAATGGATATTGAGTAGTTTTTGATCCCAGATGACAATGTGTAGGTTCAAGGGTATTGTGTGTGGCAAGTGAAGATTGCAAAGATAAAACTTCAGTTCATGCTTGAAATTTAAGTATTGTGATGCCAGAATTGCTGCTCACCGTTTTTAGATTTCAGGTTCTCTGACATCTTTTGGTATTGTTAATTTCACTGATTTGTGTAGAATGTCAAGTGAATTTTACCAGCTAATATCCAGAAATGCTGGCAAGAGAAGTTTACTCCAGCTTTAGATTGTAGGTATGTTAGCTTTTTTCATACAGTGTATTAAATTTACTGAGTCAGCTTGTTGAATAAGACAGAAGCCCAAGAATTTTAACAGTGTATAGCTTTAGTTGTCTAAAAGTTAGGCCTTCGGGCTTCAAAAGTTAGTGGTCATCGAAAAGCATGAATCTTTGCAGTTTCAGGTACAACAGACTGGTTTTGATTAGGGATGGGGATGGGGCCCTCATTTTGCAGAATGGAAAGTATTGACAGGAATTGAGAGCTATTGGTAGGCCAGTGTATAAGGTATGTGAAAACAGAAGTTATTGGTCTGAAGTGACTGAAGCATTTAGGCTCTATCAAGGCCTAAAATTTGGTAATATGAGTTTGGTAATGCGAATTGTGGCAGTGGACAATATTTAGTTAAAATTATGTAATTGCATAAGTACTAGCAGAGTATTTTTAATAAAAATTATTTCTTAGCAAGTATCAGTTGCATTTTGTCTAAAGGTAGCGTGACACTGCAGTGTCTATATGTCCTGCTAAAAATTGTGGGGAAGATTTTTTTTTAAGACAACGTTTATATCGGGAGAGGTTTTATTCCCTTGGATTATGTTAGCTGCATATACATGTGCACAGTTAATTTTGCCCAAGTTTTTGTTTTGAAATGAATATAAAACTTACTGAAGAAGTAGCCTCCCAAAATTTAGTTTTCTGTTAAGTCAGTAATATTATTTTAAAATAGTATTTGCAAATTTTGAAGTTGGCATTAATTGAAAATGTTACTAAGGCTAAACTGGAAGATAAAAATGTTACTAAGGCTAAACCCGCTTGCCCAGAAGATAATTATGGAAAAAATTCTTTTGTGACTTCCAAAGCAGTCTACTATTAGCATGAATTACTGACAGTCATCCAAATATATAGGAACAAAAAATTAAATGTTTATGTAACTTTGAAAAAAAAGCCTCTGAAGAAAATAATGGAATGCTGTCTGGGAGACAGATTTCTTTCAGCACTTAAAGTACATACACACTACTTTTATTTTTCCCACTTTATTTAAAATTGTCAGGGTTATTAAGACCTTAAAATTATTCTACCAGGTTTTTACATGTGAGCTGTGATGTGACTGGCATTTCCTTTGATTTCAGAGTATGTGGGTCTCTACACATGAAATTTATGTGACTTAAAACTTTCTCTAAAATTGTACTTTTAGTTATGCATAGAAAGCAGTATCAAATATTGTGTCAAATGACTAATAACACTTGATTTCTAGAGTTGTGGTTTTATTGAGCCAAAAGTTGGTATGAAAAAAAGTCAGTGAGGAAAGTCAATGAAGTGCTTGCTTTTTTGATAATTGCACTCCCAATAATTTTGATATTCCAACGTACTTGGTTTGCTTGTTTTTCTGTTTATGGGGGTGGGAAGGCATTAAAATGGTCATTGAGGACTTTGTCTTTGGCATGCTGTAGTATTTATTTCGGCAGCTAACCTGTGAAAAGTTAAATTCCTTTATGAAAGTAGTGATTGGAGTATTTTTATCTGGTAAAGAAAGATTAATAATGAAGCCATTTCTCCGAGGAAAACTGAGGACAATAATTCAGTTTTAAAATATCGCAAAATTAAATTATTCTAAATATTTGTTAGTAGGGTTATATATTAATATTAGTCTGAAATATAGTGCTGAATTTGAGACTATAGAAAAATAGTGTATTTGGGGTATGTGGAAACTTTAGGCTTCTGTTGTATTTTTATTGTTTGGTAGATTTGCCTCTTTTCAAATAAATCTTCACAGGGAATACTTTTAACTACTAGAGAGTACAGTGACTATTGAAGTTACCTAAATTACCTCAAGGTAAGTGATTACTGAAATTAATCATGAGGGTTTTAAAAAATATTCTATTCACAATATTTATTTTACATTGTTTTGTATCTGCTAAGTTATATTTCCTGAAAAACGTGACTGTACCACCTAATTGCTATATGATAACTTACAAACTTCATTTTTCATAGTGCTTATTCAAGAGTAAAGCACAACTGAAAGGAGTAATGTACAGTTTATGTGAGGAAAAAGGAATTTTATTGCTGCCAGTGTAAAAGTTTGCACAGCAGTATAGTCATCAATGCAGATTTACATTGCTTATAATATACTAAGTAAATACTAAATGATTAAAGATAATAAAATATGGTGAGGTATAACCACCTTCATTTTAAACTTAGTTTTAGAAGATAGTAAAGTTCCTTTAGTACCTTTTTAGAATTTTATTTTTAATAACATGGGGAAAGCAACTGGTGATATTTTAATTTTTGTATGAAACAGTGTATCTGCTTTCTCATAACCACATAAAATATATAAACTACTTAGTGTTACGAAATGGCTTACTTTTTGGAAGTGAAGAAGTCTTCAGTTCTTATTGTCTAGTGTTATTTTGAAATTTGCCTCCATTTGCTGTTTGTTCATTTGGTGATAGCGCAACACTTAAAAAAATATTTTAAGCTACTTCTGAAGTAATCACTTAAGTGACTTAATGGAGGAGTATTTGTTATGGGAAATTCAGTTCACAAAGTTTTAACATTAATTCACTTGAAGTAAACGTTTATTTTTAAATTTTCATCTCAATCTTTTTGGTAAGACAAAAGCTTAGGAAATCAATTTTATTATTGATATTGTGTGTGACTTCAGAGTTTGTAAAGAGAATTGTAAAAGTGTTGCATGCATATGACAATTTTCTGCTTAATTGAAATGTGAGGCCTCTGCTATACTACAAGGATTTAGCTTCCAGAAAATGTGATATTAACATAGCTTAAGAAATGTATTTTTTTTTTTTTTTCTGTAGAAACCATTGGGTTAAACAAACATTTCTGAAGTTTTATTACATAGAATCCATTAGTTCTTACCCTTGTTACTTTTTTCTTCATTTTTTCTGTTAAACTTGATTTTCAAAGTCAGCACTGAAGAATTCATCTCGTGGCCCAAATTCATTAAGAAAAGATGTTAGGATTTGTTTTGAAGATAGTGACTTAGGAAATTTGTGAGATTGGGGTAGTCAGTTCTGTTTTACAATTGCTTTCTATCTGGTAGCTTTGAAATTAATGCACTTGCTATCAGAAAGAATAATGTTGAGGTTAGACTGACCTTAGATTGGTAAGGATTTGCTGAGCAAACTGATAACTGTAAGTCTTTTATAGGGTGTATTACCGCCACATATACATTGTTCCGTAGGTGGTTAAAAGTATATTGGTCTGTGTTTGATGATTCTCTTTGTACATATTGAATATATGCATTCACTAATGTAAAATACTTTCATTTGTCAAGAAAGGTGAAATTAGTATATTGTACTTGACTCTTCACCTTTCCCCTAGTTTTTTGAATTTTTTCATTGGTTGCAGAGGAAGTATTAGCAATTTCATTCTTCTAAAATAATTTGCACTGGATTAAATAAGTATTGGCAATTATTAATAGAAGAATAACATAATTTAGGGGTGAATTAATTTTAGTTGGGAAGTTTTAGTTATGTATAGTTAAGGTAGACTCTTCATTTGCAACAGTTGACATTAGGACATGTGTGGACATCTTCAAGGCATTACTTTTTGGCAGTGTTCAGAATTTTTTATTTTTATTTTTATTTTTTTTTTGAGATGGAATCTCACTCTATTGCCCAGGCTGGTATGCAGTGGCGGGATCTCGGCTCACTGGAACCTCTGCCTCCCAGGTTCAGGTGATTCTCCTGCCTGAGCCTCGCAAGCAGCTGGGATTACAGGTGCATGCCACCATGCCCAGCTAGTTTTTGTACTTTTAGTGGAGATGGGGTTTCACCACCTTGGCCAGGCTGGTCTCGAACTCCTGATCTCAAGTGATCTGCCTGCCTCGGCCTCCCAAAGTGTTGTGATTACAGGCGTGAGCCATTGTGCCCGGCCAGTGTTGAGAATATTTAGAGATGGATATTGTAGCTGTATCTGCCATCAAAG